TCCACTGCTTTTTGTGGTATTAATACGTCTTCCTGCAGAAGTTTCTCCCGCATTTGCGGGTCTGTCACTCCACATATGAATAGTTTTGAAAATCTTCCTTCAGTTCCCCTAATTTGTGACAAACTAGTCCAACCCCTAGTAGAAATTTGTCCAGTTTTCCTCACTATTGGTAGGGCGCTGGCTGGGTTTAGATAGGGAAAAACTAGAAAGGCCCCGACTAGGAACTAACCAGTAAAACTTGCCTAGTTGTGACTCGACTCCGACTGACTAGTTCACATCTATAGTTTTCCTCATTAAATTTCAGTCTAGGCTGACTCAAGTTTTCCTCACCATAAACACAATCCACAGAATTGTGACCATAAACTTGTAAGGAAATGTAGGGAAAATCCCCTTGTTTACAGGTTACTAAGGATTTTGACGTTTTTCTTGATTTTACATTTGTTGACATTTAAATCCTGTGTTTTTTATATGATTAAAATAATGAATTATAAACTCTAAAAGATCGATGGGTTGGTGTAAACGATAATGAAATTAAGGCAAGTTTAAATAAATACGTTAGGGTAAGTTATTGCTTTATGTGTAAAGATGCTTTATGTTTAAAGATATTTTATAGTTTAGACCTAAGTTTTTTTTTTAAATTTTTCTATTTAAGTATATTTAATTTACCTACAAGGCTTCTTTTGATAAACATTTGAGGAATTATGTTTGTCTTGAAGATGCAGGTTGTTTAATTAAACACCTTTTACTTAAGCTAGATTTTATAAAAAAAAAATTTTACTTTTGGGCAAAAATTGAAGGGGTGATTTTTTGAGTGAGATTTAAGTTGAGGGGGTATATTTAACAGGCGTCTAGAAATCAATGGTTAAACATAATTTGTTGAAATTTCAAATAGGTAACTTTATTTTTTAAAATACAAAATTGAGAATTTGAAATGGCATACATCTAGGACATCTATGCGCAGTAGGGACCAGATGGTTGAAACTATGCGCAGTGGTTACCGGATGATCGTACCTATGCGCATTAGTTACCTATGCGAAATATTTTTCAGATGGTTGCATCTATTTGCAGTAGTGACGTGCACTTTATGGATCAAATGCGCGACAATTTCGGCGTGAAAAGTTTTACTTTACCCGTGTGGTATTGGCAGATATACTTTAAAAGGATGTTTCTCTCTTATTTTTAAGATACTTGAAGTATTCGTTTCTCTACTTGATTTATACACGCTGTTAAAAATAACCTCTCTACTTAAAACTCACACGTTGTATTAATTTATCCATTTATTTGTTAGATTCTTCCAATGGTGCAGAAAAACTTGATAGTGATTCAACGTCAAGTCATGCATGGTGCAACAAACAAATTTGGCTTGTCACAAGAGGTTATACCAAATCAATTTACAACCGACAATAATAATTCCAAAAGTGATCGAACGATAATGTAAATATATAAATCTAATAAAAGAATTTTAGCTACTGGCTTTTATTATTGGTTAAAAAATTCACAAATATTCCCAACCAGTTTTAAGCTAGTTTTTCCTACCAGCTTTTCCCCATTAGTTCCCCACCAGGAAAAGCATTAGTCGGAAACTAGTAGGGATTCCTAGCGAGGCCCTCGTTTCATTTGGGGAAAACTAGCTGCGCCCTACTGATTCCCCATTTAAATTTCTACTAGAGACGACTTTCCTGGCGTTTGTTTTATAGAGAATAATTTATACCTTTCACAGGAAAGGTTTTCTAAAAATGTGATTCAAAAGCATCCATTATTTTTTTCAGCTTGTTTTTGTTGTCTTCCTCGAATTTAAAAGTAGTAAATATTGTAAACGCATATCGCCTATGTAATACAGGAGTTGGGCACATTGAATTTATTTGCTTTTTTATTTATTTCGCTAGCGACAAGGTAATTTGCAAACCTAAAACGCCACATTTCCTGTGGACGTACACCTCTGTGTTCTTCCATCTTATTTTTTATTAACTTATTTAATAGACGTAGACATGTTTGCAGATTGTAACAAGATTGTATTGTTTATAAAGGAAATAAATAGATTTGAATGAAACACATCTGACTTAGTTTTATGTCAGTAATTCACTAGTTATTTATTAGCAACCAATTTGTCTACATTGCCAACTCTATTTTTACTGATATAATAGAAATATAAAATAATAGAGAGATAACTTAATCTCCCTACAGACAGTACGTAGCATTAGGACCTACAGATATAAAGGAGCGAAGATTTTTTCTTGCTTACAGAAACAGTCGCTGTACCTGCAATTATACCAATGTTAGATAATGCAAAGGCTTACACAGGCCATTGTCTGTCACAGACAGTCTGTGTGAAAAAGTTCGACCGTAGCGGAGGGATACAGAGGAAAGTATTTCCTCAAAAAATAAGATTGCTCATATAATTACCAATTCTGTAACTTCGATAAAAAAGGTAAACGAAAATAATTCTTCAATAGTATCATGTCAAAATAAACAAATAAGGGAAGAATCTTGACTTTCAAGGTGAAGCACAAAGGAGCGGATCATTCAGTTGTCGGTTCGGCATTATTTTCGGAAAAATTTGAGAATTGTAATTTTTATTTTGGAAATAAAGCTTGGTTTTATAGTTAGTGATAGAAAACAACAAATTTTATTCAGGTTTGGCTGCATATTGTAAGATGTTTTGTGAAGTTAAATTTTGCGGGCATTATGATAATGCCGGCCTATAACGCTCTGAAGTTGTTTATATGTTTACTTGTTTAATTTGCAAGGTGTTATGAATCAATAATAGATGGAGATCTATATGCACAAATAATATAGATCTCAAATTTAGGAGTATTATTATAAACATTTTTTGAGACCGAGATTTCAATAGATTTACAACAATAAGGGCTAAGATTTAAGGTAAGCTTCAAGAACATGCAAGCCCTTTTAAGATGTTTCCTACAAAAAGAGTTACTTATTTTATAATTTTCTATGTGCAATAGTCGAATTTCATGTTCTCCAAGCCAGTGTTTACTGACACAAAGAATGTCCACATTATAATGTGGACATTCTTTAATAATAATTAATAATTATTATTGTTCAGAGCAACTTTTAAATCATTTACCTTTCTATCGTCACCTTGTATATTAAAGTGCAGTTAATTTAAAAATACTTTATTGGTTACCCAAAAGGCTATTGACCTTGGTCTTTCTGCCTGTTACAATTATTATAAATTATGATGTTTGAATTATATTACCAGTAATTAAAAAGAAAAAAATATCGAAATGTAACTAGAAAAAAAGAGAATATTAGAGAATTATATTTAAAAAAAGCTTTATTCTTTGAAGTCTTGTAGCTGATCCCATATTGTTTTTTCGGGAAATTTCCGTTTTCTTGTTGCAGCGCCGTTGATGATGAACGGCTCAATTAATGATAGGGGAATTTGGTGGCCAGCCTAACAATTCATTCGAAAATGGGAACAACTGGTATTCTACTATAATAAAGTGCATGATAAAAGATGATGCTGATTTTACAATGTTCGGCTACCGAAAAAACTAATCTTTTATTACTACTCCTTGTGGCCATTTGGAATTATCATTAATTTTATCTTTAAAACTACTGTTTGTACCTTCGTTATCTAATTTTTTGACATAAATAATATTAGGCCACATTTCTTTGGGATGTTCTTACATCTTCCTCCACGTTTCCCTTTATAGGTCCTACATATTTTTTATTTTGATATTTTCTTAGCTGTTACTTTTGCCTTTACTATTACTTTAGTTTTAGGAGGAACAATTATTTATTCAGAGCAATTTGTATTGTTTACATTTGTATTTATGGTGTCCTTGACCTTGCCCTGTTTTGTGTCCGTTTTGTCTAAGAAATACAATTTGAACATAGTTATGAACACATTTTAACTTATCACAAGTAACTTTGAAATCACACTTTTCTTCCTTATTTTGAGTTGGGAATAACTGTTTAATGTAATTATACAACACTTCATTATTCTCAAATCTTGATGGAACTTTATGCAATAACATTTCAGTACTATAGTATATTCACATTACAATTTGTTTTTATGCTGCAAATGTATTTATTATATATTTTTAGTTGTCGAGTTCACACAAAAACATAGCGTCTCTACTTCCGGCAAAAGAATAAGCCGCAACAATATAGAGCCGCCGCGGCGCGCCGTTTAATATGTTCGGCGAAGATGTTTAAGGAATTAACGTTTTGGTCAGTTTGGATTTTGTCTAGCAAACTTTTTACCTTTTCAGTCGACTCAGTGAAAGTGGACTAAACTGCAGGGGCGTAGGCAGGGGGGTTATGGGGGGATTGGACCTCCCGAAATGTGAAAAACGGTTTTAAGATTTGTTTTCTAAGATTCTGACACAATCATTGTGTGATTAAAACATTATTAACATTTTTGATTATTAAGGTAACGTAAGTAATGTGTAAATGCGTCTCTTAGATCAATAATAAAAATGACAATAGAAGGGTTAGGACGTAAGAAAAATTGTTGGTAATTTTTTCATTGTTATATTGGAAGTTGGAGAGCGATCATTTACCAAATTAAAAATAATAAAAAAATATCCTACATCTACCATGTGACATGGTCCATGTCAAAGGAACGGCTCACAAATTTGGGAATAATAGCAATTGATAATGATATCTTTAAAAGTTTAGATCACTCGCAACTTATTGTCGAGTACGCAACAATAAAATCTAAAAAATATATATTTATAGTAAAATCCAATTTTAGATTTTTTTCTACTGCAACTAGGATTACCATTGAAAAATATGGTGTGACCAACTTTTACTTTTGTAAAAATATAATACAATTTTGATTTACGATTTTAAAAATAAATTACCAAAGTTTTTTTAACGTCCACTACTTAGAAATACATTTCAAAAACTAAACCTAAATATACCAAAGACTAAAATAAGTTTAATTAAATTATTTGTAATAAACAATTTTTTTATCAGAAACAATTAATTTAAAATACAATGTTATATTAGTTATTTGTAACTATAAATATTTAATTGTTCTGTTGATAATTTCCAAATATTCTTAAAGACAAAAAATAAATTATTTCCATTAAAGATAACAACGAAAACCCGGTAAAAAGTCCCAACAATCCTCCAAATCCACATAAAAAGTCTATGAAACCATAAACCTCATTTCTTTGTTTAGTTTCTAAATGATTTCTTCTCATATATAATGTTAAACTGGAGAATTCAACTCTGCAAAGTAAAAAATATGCCAACTTATTTTGAATTTGAACTCAAACTTTAGTTACAAACTTATCATCCTTTTCCAGATACAAATCGGGTGGGTCATAACTCTCAGAAATTTCAGTTTTTTCCTCTTCATAAACGGGTGTACCTATTGTCTTTAAAACTTTATTATTTTTCCAAACATTTTGCGATGTTTCTATATTATAGTTTATATCTGAACAAAGGGGTCTGCAATCACACCTTTCGGATTCTGTTTCCATAAAATCAAATCCCGATGCCAACGATTCATCTTAAAATGTAAATATTTTAAAATAAAATTAATTATAATATTGGTTGTATACATTCAGCCACCTCTATGCATTTATATAATCCTAATCCACATAGGGGAGTACTGTTAGTTCCTAAAAAATAAATCAAATTATAAAGTCATTAGTAATATAAATAATATTTCGGGTATGGAAAAATGTTGTTTTTTATTTAACAAACGTCATTTTGTGTAGATTTTGTAAATAGATTTAAATATAGTGAGATTTACAGTAAAGATTTCGAACTTTGATACATTTGACAAATAGGGTGTTTAAGGCAATCGAAGTAAAAGAGGTCGAGAAAAGAGAGAAGTGAAAAGAAAAAACACCCACTCCGAGGTAAACGAATCGAGTACCGTACTCGGAGTACGGTACCGAATACATCGTTGTTACTAGTGTAGTATGTGAATTTTCAAGTTTTTAGTTTTTAATTTTAATGGTCCCAAATATGTTGTAAAGTCCATTAAACGTAAAACGATTAGGATTAACTACGTTTAGCCGGATTTTAACACTTTTTCTTTTAGCTATTTTTACAAAATGTTTTTTTTCTATTAAGTTTAAGTAAAATGTAATAATTTGTGTATTCTCAATGGTTAGTTTTTAATTTTAATGGTCCTAAATATGTAGTAAAGTCCCCTAAACTTAAAATGATTAAGATTAACTACGTTTAGCTGGTGTTTAACACTTTTTCTTTTAGCTATTTTTTCAATGGTTTTTATTAAGTTTACTGCTAAATGTAATAATTTGTTCAATTCCAATATTGTATTAATTTAACTTAATTTAGTTTTAAATTCTCTAATTAAAATTTTTATACCTTTTTTGTGGTTATTTTTGTTTAAAACAAATATTAATGAAATACGGGATGGTTCGAGGCTTACCCCTTTATTGTTAACCTTTTTAAGATTTACTTCTTTTGTAGTGCATGGCTTCTTTACCAAAACATACAAGGAAACAAGATAAAATAAAATGCCAGTGCATTGTAATTATGCGAGCATTGTAATTATGCGAGTTCGTACGAACACTGGGACATCAGAATTTTATACAGAAAAATATCAGTGTCAAGAAAAAAGTTGCTAGCAATGTGCAAGCTTTTATTTTTAATGAGTTTCCATCAAAGTTTCTGCAATAAACTTTCCGTAGCGATGGTCTCCTTATTCTTCTTTTCGGTCCGAAGAACGAAGAACCGCAGCTACACCCACCACAGTATTTGTTGAATGTCCAAAATCTGTTCCAATCTTTAAAACCTCTTTTGCACGAATTTGTTTATCTCGTTTTTTTGTATTATTATTTCGGAGGTTTACCATGGCGTCGAGATAAGTGCATTTCAGCACCTAGTTCTTGAATATTGATATTGCTTATATTTTTAATCAGATCAGTTAATAAATGTTCCCGTACTTTTGGAGGCAATTCTGATTGAAATGACTCGACTAGATTTGCATAATTGTGCGTTTTATACCAAAAATGTGCTAGTCCTTTTTGCAAAGATTTTCTACACCTTGCGCATTGCTTGGCAAATTTTTTCTTGACACTGATATTTTTCTGCATAAAATTCTAATGTCCCAGTGTTCGTACGAACATAATTTGCAAGCACAGCATATGAGTCGTGGAAGACGGTTGTCTTCAGGATTAAAAGGAAAATGTCCTGAACCGCGCTCTGAAGAGTTCCAGTAATTTTTCGCATATCCACCTTCTTTTTGAAACATAACAATCAAACTCGCGATTTTCTTCATGGGTCCCAGCATGAGTGTTCACATACATTATTTTAACGTTCATTGTTATAAGGTACAGAATTTGACAATAAACTATTCGGCAGCGTATAAGCTCAATGTGTAGTTCAGCAACTATGTCCGTAAAGTGGACAGTTTGACAGATGACTTTTCGTTGTAGTGCCACCTGACGGAAAAATAGTAAAATCTCTTCTCCCGGAGGACTCGATTTTGATTGTTATAATGTCATTATAACTCTTAATAACCTTAATAAATGCTTTGCAAGCAAAATTAATTATTATCGTGATTTTTTGCCCTAAATTTCGATTTCCAACGAAACGGCTCGGGTAATTTTGCTATAAACGGGTAAGTTTATTTTAATATATATTTTCGAAATATGTCATAAAAAACGTGGTGCTAATCTGGTCAATATAGACTGGTTTCAGGCCTATCGTGCTTGGCTTCGTTCAACAATAAGCAAAGATCGGCCAAATGGTCTTTGTTTGCTAAGCGTGCATCGTGATTACATTAATAATAATAAAAAACATTTATAGAACGTGCAATAAATGAATTTGCTAAAGATTCAAGAAGACTGAAACTCCTCTTTGCGCAGAAATAACCTTTTTTAGTTTTAGTTTTAATAAATTTTTGAAAATAAAATAATATAAGTTTGTATACATATATAGCTCTTTCCTATATTCAGGATTTGGTTTTTCTAAATATTTTTTTGGAATGTTTGATTTAAAAGCTTTAACCAAATTTATTTTATTTTAATAACTAATTAGTTCCTTTGTTACTGTGTTTTTAATTTTTTTGTTTGTTGTTTTGATATTGTTAGTATTGTATTATTCATAAATAAAAATAAGGTAGTAAAAAGTATTTTTTTGTTTCTTCTTAGTCCCTTTTTGCTCTTAACTTGTTACAAAAATAAATATCGAAGTTAAGCAGGTTCAACTAAATGTTTCTAAATTGTTTTATAAAAAATATTTGTTTTAAATTTCTTGACTGTCATTTATAGTTTTTGCCCCCCCCTAGACAATTTTCTGTGGGCGCCATAGTGTCTATTGAGACTGGTTTGTGGTTGTAATCTCGATATTCAAGTATTCCTAAAGTCTTGGGTTTACATCTGCCTAATGTTATTTGTATGAAATTTTTTTTCCTGAATGTAAACTTTAATTTAAATTAAAAATATGTTTGCTAAAATATACACTTTGTTTTTAAAAATTTGTTTAAAACCGGTAATATGTTTGCCCCACCCTGCACTAAACTAAACTCCATAAAAAAAATCTAACCCAAAAGTAAAAATTATCATTTTCCCGTTTATTTGAAGTTAAATTACACCACAATTTTTTATCCAAAAACCGTTACTTTATATCAAAGTATTATTATTCCCATTTTAAATTAAATTTATTAGAAAATTGAGCAGCATTAAATAGACATTTATCTTTTGTCTAATGTCTAAAAACATGTTAGTTCTAAACAACTGCCGCGGCATGCCGTTGTAGCTGCAGTTGTTTAGGAATGTATTACAAAAAACAAACGGGATCGCAGCCTTCAGGAATAAACTTCGTGAAGGTTGTCCACCAATTGCTATTTATGGACTTGATTTAACTTAACATGGTAATAATACGAGCCCTGTCTCAGTGAAGTTGGCCCAACCACTCAAAATATAAAATTTGTAATTTTATGCGATGAAAAGCCAACAGTTTTTTATCATATGTAATTCTTAATCAATCTTCATGTTGTAAATTTTTTTTAAAAATATGTGTATGTATATTATTTAGTTTTAAGTTGGATGTTTCGTTACAATACAAAAAAATCGACAAAAATGCATTAACTTGGATGGCCAGATTGTTTAATGCAAGTCGGCTGTGCTAAAAGTAAAGATAATATTTGACATTTAAATAATTGTAAGCAAGTCGGTAGTGACATTCCAGTATATATTTATGCTTTCGGTGTGATTGACAAATAAAAATGTCCCGAGGAAAAGCTGTTTCTGAAGAAATATGAAAAGTGATAATTCACTTGCATTTAAAAAGAAAATCCGCTGCACAAATCGCTGAAACTGTTAATTTGTCACGATAAACAGTGCGAAATATTATTAAACTGCACAAAACTACAGGATCTGTGGCGCAGAAACCAAAAAAATGGAAGTCGTCCTCACTGTTCTGATAAAAATTTAAGGGCTTTAAGAAGAATTATCGTTCAAAAGCGTAGGGCTAATTACGGTGAATTAAAAGTTTTGTGGAATCAGGCAACGAGTAAATGTTTTTCAAGAGCAACCTGTCATAGAGCTGCTCAAAAACTTGGGTTTAAAACTTACAAAGTTTGCTTATAATGTATACGATTTTTATTTATTTTTAATTTTACTATCTGTAGGCCAAGGAAAAACCTTTATTGACAAAAAAACAGAAGAAAAATAGACTTATATGGGCAAAAGAGCACAGGACTTGGTGTCAAAATCAATGGGATTTAATTATATGGAGTGACGAAGCTAGATTTGAAGTTTGCGTTGGTGATAATCGAAGCCGAGTCATTAGAACTAAAGCAGAAGTCTTTCACAATGACTGTCTTAAGAAAAAAGTAAAGTTTCCGGCCTCTGTGATGATTTGGGGATCTATGTCAGCTAAAGGGATCGGTAAATTACACTTTGTAGAGGGCATTATGAATGCTGATAAATATATTTACGTCCTAAAAAATAACTTAAAACCGCAAATTGAAGAAATGCGTTTAAATGATATTGAATGCATCTTCCAACAAGATGGTGCAGCGTGTCATACGGCTAAAAAAGTGAAAGCTTGGATGATAGAAAATAATATTTCACTTTTAAAATGGACATCTAGTAGTCCAGATCTTTCGCCTATAGAAACTTTGTGGCATATTATGAAAAAGAAGCTCAGAGAACAGCCCGCAAGAACCGTCTTAGAGTTGCGTGCTCGCCTGCAAGAAATTTGGAATAATTTTACGCCGGATGATTGTCAAAAATTGGTTGACACCATGCCGAGACGTATACAGGCAGTAATAAGCCATAAAGGAGATGTTACGCAGTGGTAGTTTCCAATTAAAATGTATTTATTTAAATTATTTTTTTTTTCTTAATTTTTGGTTTACGGACAATATAAGAGAATTTTAAATATTTTTTTATTAGGTACTTAAAAATACAATTTAACGGTAGAAAATTTAATAAACGTTATTTATTTAATTAAAACAATGTGTTAATTTTAATTAATTACCGTATAATATTCTAAATATCTTCAAAAAACTATTTTTGTTAGTTGGGCCAACTTCACTGAGACAGGGCTCGTATAGTAAATATAATAGCCCAAATCTGTTAGTAATGGTAACACGAAAAGGAAGAAAGGTTAAGCCCGATCCATATCTGTTATATTAAGGTACACATATTGAGTGTACGCTTTCATTCTTTTTCCGGACTTTGAACTTACTTGGCATATAAAATGGTACACATTCGCAATTCTGTAATGTTATATTAGTAAAACATTCTAATAAACAATTGCTTTGAGTATAAATCTTAAAAAATCTTAGTGGTTTTTCATCCTGAAAGAAGCAATCTCTTTTATCCGGTGGATAATTTTTTACAGCTACAGATGTAGTTATAATTTCGGGCTGTATACTTCCCAAAACGTTAATGTTTGAACCTATTGTTATGAGGGAATCCGACATCCTGGGTAGTTTTCCAGGAAGGTCAATTGAAGCCTGAAACCATTTAAAATAATAAACCATATTAAAATGAAAGGTTTTAAAAATATTTTTTTAATAAAATTTTTAATATTTAAAACAAGTTTTATTTATTAAAAATTATTAAAAACTAAACACAGATAAGCTAGGCCTTTGGACGGTAGATGTCGCTGAAAGCTTTCGTACTGAAACCTGCTTACTATAAAGCGGCAGAAGCCAGTTTATTTCAAATGTGTTCCAAACCACATGCTAACCAACATTGATAAGGTTTAAAAGACCATCTGAACCATCTGAAACAAGGCACAGTTTGCTTTAGATGTGTTCCAGACCACATGGCTACGCATACTGATGATGTCCAAAAGACCAAAACAGTCGGTATTGATGCCTGTTTAAGATGTGCACCATGGTGCGGAGCACATCTTAAACAAAGCACAGTCGCGGTAAAAGGCCAGTTCTTAAAAATTTATAATTGTTGTTTTGGTTATATACATCTTTTTGGCTGGTGGTCCAGAATTCTGCTAAACAAATGGATAAGCAAGGTCTTTTGGACGGTAAATGAGCTTTCGTTCGCTGTCCCACCGCTATATCCTATGGCAGAAAGCAGTTTGTTTTAGATGTGTTCCACACCATATAGATACGCGATACTAATAATGTCGGTATCCATAGCATACGTTAATTTGCCACTATGCCGAACCAATCAGAATCAATCCGAACCGAATGGCGCTTCGTTTTGCATCGGATAAATTTATTGCCGTTTAGCGCCAAAAAATTTTGTTTAAACAAAAATTCTATACAAAATCTACAGATGTCTTGTGCTATTTTTTGAGAGATTATTATCTTTCAAAAAAGAGCACAAGCACAATAATTATTGAAGTATTGAGTTATTATTAAAGTGTCTAAAGCAAATATTGGCAAATCAAACCTTTTGCCTAATTATTTATTATGGAATTGGCAAGGTAAGATATATTTTTATTGCTTATGTATTTGAAATTCTTAGGTTAGGATTTCTATATTAATTAATTAATAATTAATGTATACTTTTTTAGGAAGAATGAATTAACTTGTAAATTTTGTAGTATGGAATTTTTACGTACATCTACTAAAAATAGACATGTTAAGACAAAACATTCAGATCAAGACTTAAAAGAACAAGAGGAAAACGTCCAGATGGTCAAGAAAAAATAATATACAACTGTATTAGAAGTGATTCAAAGGGTTGTATAATTTTTGTATTATATAACGTATATGTATAAGTATTTGTAATGATTTATTAATAAGATTCCAGAATAATTCAAAATGAAAAATTGGAAAGAATAAACCTTATGTCAAGAGGACATCTAGCTTATTTAAAAAGGAAATTTAAAATTGATAGGATTAGCCTTCAACAAGCCAGATAGGTTACCAGGATGATGTGTTAAGAAACTAGGTCTGATATTAAACCAACTACATTTGAAGATAAACGAGAGGTTGTGATACTATAAATATTATAAGGCCACATGTTTAATTTAAAGAGGTTTCTTGCAGATCATCTTACAGGAAATGAATAGTTTTGCTCGCGGTTTGAGAAGTATGTGATGAATTTAAAAAAAATTCAAAACTTACTCAGAACGACAAAATGCCAAAGAAAATTCTAAAAAAAGGAAAATAGAAAAGCAAACATATTATCCAAATAAAAAATAGAATGTGGTATGCATTTAAAAGTATATGCAATTTTTTTATATTTTTTTGTGTTGAATATTTATATTTAAAATGTTATATTTTTATAATTTTAGTTAGGTAGGTACTATTTTAGAAATGGAAGTTTACCTCCAAAAAGTTTTTTTAGCCGTTTTAGCTTCTTTCAAAGAAGTTCTTTGTGGCCACTTAATTGGACTTGTGCTAATTAATGTAACAGGACCCGTACTAAAGAAGTCCACAATGTATTCAATTTTTTTTAATTGTTGTAGTTTTGTTATTTTAATTATCTAGTATTTAATTAATGGATATTTACCTCCAAAAAGTTTTTTTTGCTGTTTTAGCTTTTTTTGGCCACATACCCACAAAATGTTAGAAAATACCAAGACAATATATTTAAATGTGTGGTTCAGTGTTTATAAAAAATAAATTTTAGTACAAAGATAAGCATTTTATTTTTTTCTTTTTCCATAAATCCGCAAACATATTTTGTTATAAAAATAATAACATTTAAATTAACATAATAACAATTTTATACATTAAAATGAAAATCATTTTTACAAGGCGTTTCTACTCAAAATGGACAAGGGGGAAAATAAACACCCCGATTGCAAGTGGCAAACATGTAATTTAAAGAAGTGGCTGGAACTACCCGAATCTTCGAATATGACACCATAAAAGACCAAAAACTTTATAGTAACTTTTTAAAGTAGCGGTCACTAACAAGTGCTACCATAATGCCTCCATTAACTATACTATACAGTAACAATTTAAGTTACGTGGTAGTCGCGGCCACGACACCTAGTTACTTCTAATTTATAGTAGCATTGAAAGTAGCAAAATTGTTACTGCTACCTTTCTAGGTCACTATAAAGTTGCCGTCGATTTTCCATTGCCAATAAAAAGTCGCAGGGATCAAAAATGGCTACTTTATAGTGACCATAACTTAATATACCCTAATAAATATAATAGCCCCAGATTGCATATTGTGCTGCTCTGTTTTAGTGTTTTCCTTTACTTAAAAAGCTTTATTAAAATTCTGTAAAATGTCTGAGGCGAATAAAAATAAATTTAGAAATTTAGATATTCTATAGAAAGTACTATAGTACTTTCTACCGAAGAAAAACAAAAGGAATCACTTCGAGCCTTTCTATAATCCCACTGATGAACATCATTAATCAGGTAGTAACTGTGACATTTTTGAAGCTGTTTCTGTAGATGATTGTAGTGCATCTAAAACTGAATCTCACAGGAAAACTAATTTGAGAAACAAGAGCAAAATACTCGTCTATAAGTCATGTAGCTCTGAACGATCTATTGAGGATATTGATAAACGAACTTGAACTTGAGGAATTTACAATAAAAAATTTTGTTCTCATAATTAATAATAATTATTATACATATATTATCTCGGATTATTTATCCTGAATTTCTGAATCTAATGAATTGCGAGATGAATTGTTATCCTTGTTTTCATCTAATGTTGACTTCTTGCCCTTCGTTTTCCGCTGTAAGATGACCATTCTGTGCTTCCTGCAGTTTAACCTTCCTTTCAAACTTCTTTTTAAAGTGCTTCTAAACGCCTTATTTAAAAAGCTTTTCATGTTTTTATAGGTTGTATCGATGTTCGCAAAATTAGAAGAGCGTCAAAGATAATTTGCACTATTGTTTTAATTTCGCTAAAGGAATACTTTCCTTCTTGATTTATTTTTTTCTTTCAGATACCCGTAGGTCAATATTTCCATTGAAAAGAGGGTATCGACAATTTTATACCCTCTTTGGCCGCGTCACCTTCGTTAGTTGTACCACCTATTTTTTTTACAAATTCTAAAAACTGTTCTTTAAGATCTTTGTTTACTTTCAGTTCTGTTTCAAAGTTATTTATTTCCTCTGAACTTGCAAGAGGAAAGGAATATGACTTTTTGTATCTTCCCTTCTTAACTTCTTTTCTTAGTTGAACAATTTCTTGTGTCAAAAAACTCACTTCAGCTTTGATCTCGGCTTTGATGCTGTTTACCTCCGTTTTCAGTTAAAAAAGTTGTTTCTCGATTTTTATGTAAGAATGTCATATTCTCGCACGCAAAATCGTTGAAGAATGAAGCTCATTCTTAAACGATTTTTGGTAACATTTAGTTTTTAAGTATTGGTACCCCCAAAATGTCAAACTGATTAATAACCTCAAATTCATTACTTTTATTGAAAATGAAGCCTTTATTATTGTTTTGTAATATTAAGTTTACTCCAACAATGCATTTTAATGCAAAATTTTAAGTTTAATGTGAAAAAGTGCAGTTCAGGTTGTACTTGTGAAGGATAACAAATATTGTCATTTTGTGTTGCCAACTGACATTTTGCGAGAAAAATCCCCTAACTAACAAGGACCACAAAACAATTAAAAAAACCTAAATAAAAGTTAAAATCGAGAAAATAGTATAAATCACACGTTGCAGAAGGCTATTCTCGCACTCATTCGTTCGTCCACTCGCTCCTTCGTCGCTCGAGGCCAAATTTCGAATTCGTGCGAGAATATGTGGCCTTCTGCAACTTGTACTTTAATATACTATTACTAACTTATACCGTCAAACGGGGTGAAGTCAATCGGAGTTTTCATTTGTTTTTAAGCATATGGCAACAATGGATTAGAAATCAGCTGATTTTTATTCGCGCTCGTGTGGCCTTGTGAACTTTGTCTATGTACCGGTATTTTGATTAATAGTGTAAGGTGAGTTTTACAAAAATAATTAAATAGTAAAAATCAAAATTTCTCAACCTGCAAGATATCTGAAATCAAACGTTTGCACAGCCGAGTCTGTAAAAAACTAGGCCGTCCTAGCCCATCTAGATATAGTATAGTAATATATTTAAAAAAGGGTGACCACAATCAGATATGCTAATTTATTTATTTTTGTCTGGTTTCAATTGCAATTTTTGTGTGCAGAGACAAAACAACGGGGTGTAGTTGATCACTTTTTTTCGGCTTATCTTGTTAGGTTTTGAGGTTTTGTTTTTGTGTGATATTCTCATATAAATTTTGTGTGGTAGCATGTGGGTGGTATCGGGGGGTACGGGGGCGAATCGTATTTTATTGTTTCTTTTCTTTTTTCTTAAAGATGCCATGAAAATACTTAAAGAAGCTGGGTGCTTATGGCAAAAAAATATGACCCCGCGTATTTAAGCATGCGAAAAGCGTCAGAAATGTTTGCAGTGCCATATTCGACACTAAACAATAATTTTCATGGGGCACATCCCTTGACATACGGTGGTCAACCTGTTCTTGATGAACAGTCTGAAACTTTGTTAGTGAATGCTTTGCAAAAATGTGCTGAGTGGGGTTTCCCATTAAA